AATCCACCAATCACCAAAATTTAGCAATTTGCCAAAATTACCCACTATACGGTATGTATCAAAAATATAATTAAAATGGGAGGTGATTTTTGGGAGTCAATTTAAAAACCACATACCATAATAGCCTTTGATAATTAAAGTTGCCTTTTTTTAATATTCATAACTAAAAAATTATTTCTCATAGTCAGCTAATTAGCATAAGGACATTGATATGTATCAGAAAATATAATAAAATAATTATTAAGGTTGATTTTGGAGCCTTGCTTTTTTTTTCAAAAATTGACTTGCTTTTAAAAATTTGATAGTGCTTACCTTGGACAAAATATTTTGTGATGATAAGAGAGAGAGAGGAAGTTTACACGACTTTATTTTTATCCTATTCTCTGTCCTTTCCTCCCCACCCTTACTCTCTCCTCCTCCTCTCATTCTCTAGTGGTTTAATGGACAGGATTGTATTATCATCAAAATCAGGCGACATGTCATGCTATGTTGCTAGAGTTTTGAAAGAGAGTGAGTTTTATCTATTAATTTTTTATCTTATCTTGAAATATTCTTTTTTTCATTGCTCTATTGTGAATCCATTGGTTACAAATCATTAGATTAACTCCACTGAAGAGTATCATTCAACTTGATCCTTGCCTGCGTCACATGAGTGGGTGTGTATCAGGGGCTGGTGGTGTTGTAAGTGATGGAGAAGAAACTGATACTGACTACTGAGAGTGAATAAGAAGAAGCTAAACCAGTCACTGTATGCTCTCTCTCCTCCTGCTCTGATCTTTTATGATCCTCTCTCTTTTTATCTTCCACCTCTGTCTCCTCATTCCCCTCTATCTCTTTCCCCCTCTCTTCCTCTCCTCTCTCTCTCATTTCAGGTAAGGTTTGCTAAAGCTGGAGCTAAAGAGTCAAGCCTGAGGAACTTTGGAAAGCTGTAAGCTACATGTACCTCTCATTTGAAATAAAGCCATTGATAATTGTTGCTAGTACTTTTAATGATATTTGATAGTGTTATTAGTGACTAATTTTGCTATTGAAACTAATTATTATTTTTATTATTTTTTGATTATATTATTAGGTGTTAATGTGTGTTAGTTCATCAGTAGTTGAAAAGGTGTGTCTCTTAATTCATTGGATCAATGCTCCCTCCCACTCAATGCACTGGAGACTGGAACTGAGACATAGTGTCATTCTTCCTTTGGAATAGAGGTAAATGATACTATTTATAGTAACACTGATACTATTTATAGTACAATCCTATTGATTGACACTATGCTGTTGTAGTATATGATCTATTATAGTAATTGATACTATTTATAGTAACGATGCTAGTGTACACGTTTGGTAGTGATGTAGAAATTCAAAAATTGCCCATTGCACAAAAATTTGTTGTCGGAATCAACTCAAACTTTTTTATTAGCAACAGACAGACAGACGTAAATAGTAAGTATGATGTACCATATAGCTAGAAAATTTTGGAGTGTTAAAATTTGGCGAATTTACTTTAAAAGAGGTCTGGAGGTTAAAATTTTGCCAATTTTTTTAACTCTGTGCTTGCTTCTATGGAACTCTATGAAATTGGAGACTAAAAAATTCGCAAATGAACCTCAATTCACCAAATTTGCCAAAGTTGTACTCCACCAAAATTTCTAGCTATATGGTATATTGCTTTGCTTGGCTTGCCCCCTTAATGTTTTACATTTATCTTGTGATGATCATGTATTATTATTGTTATAAACAGAACAAAGGGGATCCT